CCTAGCACTACGTCGACGTAGCATAACTGCTGATTTGCAACCAATTTGCTTGCAGGACGCGATAAATTAGGATTCGTTGACATGTGCGATACGAAACACCAGTTCTACAAGTTCCCAAGAAGAATTGGTAGCAATTATGCTGGCTTTTCGTGCATAGTGAAAAAGCGGCGGCTATCGATAGTCGCGCTGAGAAGGGAAAAGATCGTCCTAAGCATTTCAGTTCTCCACTGGTCAACCAGGACTGCGTGGAAATTGGCGATATTGCGCTTATTGTTAGGCCGCCAGGATGCAGCATAGAAATAGAGAGCTTGGTTCACATGTTACAACTTCAAAGCCTAATTCCTGACACCTCCGAGAGAACAAGCATTTTTGAAAGACCGCTAAATTTGGACCGGCGCTGTTCGAGTCAATTTTGTCCTGCATCACTATTTAGAACGCTCAACTGGGACTACCTGATTCCCATGCAGGAAATTGTGCAAGGGCGGTCATCACGCTCTCGAACCGTTGCGATCACTGTTTTCCTTTTTAAAGGACGAATTCACGATGAAAAAGCAACCCATTTCAAATTAACCTGGTACACGAAAGAAGGAAGAACCATGAGAAACGGCCCAGAACCCGAGAAATGGGACCCCTTCCTTGCCCGTTGATTTGAGCATTGATGCGACTCTCATCGCTGTGCCCTCTTCAACACTACGCTCTCTCAGCTATCTAATCACTCGCCACGTATTGAACTACGGCGAGTGATCAGATGATCGGTGGGCGGAGATCGCCGGACCCGCCAGCTTTGAGGCATGATAGGTCGCCGAGGTCAAATTTTTCCATGCGAATTGCGCGTCAGTTCGCACCCTCAGGAGGTCCGTGGGTCCCTCAACTAGGTCAGTTTCCCTTTCTTCGACCTTCATTCTAATCGTGAATTCCTCCTTTAAAAGGCTGGAAAACTCAACAGAGTCACACAATAATAGCTTGGAGTGAGGGGCTTCTTTCAGGCTACATTCCACCTAATACTGCCGATGCTTCCAGAAAGTATACATGCTTACAAAATGTGCGTGAAACCAAAGGGTGCGCTGCCTGGCATGGAACTCAGTCCGGTAAGCGAGAATTCTTGCTCTGCGAGCTTCAGACTGCAAATGAAAGAAAAAAAAGGATAAAAGAAATTAAAAGTGGTAAATTTTCTGAGAAGTACCATACAAAATGTATTGAAGAAATGATGAGACTTTCTTCTGGCCTTCACAATGAATTGTTACGAAGGTTCCACAGACCACTTGAACTGCTTGGCCCATGTAGTAAGTAATAAGTATAATATAATAAGTAAGTATAATATAATAATAATAAGTATAATATAATAAGCATAATAAGTAAATAGTAAGCCAAGTATAGACCAAGCTGGTGTGATTCTTGCACATGAAAGTGAGTGCATGAACCGGTACTGAAAAATAAAAGGGGTCGGCAGAAAAGGCCTAAATCAAGAGCACGCTCATTTTTGTGATTCGACTGTTTGGGCAGTGAGAGTGAAGGAGTGAGAATAGGCAGCAGAGCACGGCTGATGAGTGGGCTAGGTAACCGCACGTTGCATAAAGGACAAAGGGTAGCGCATTCGTTGTTGTTCAATCCCGTTTTGGGATGGGTGCGCCACGCATTCTACTGCCATTTAGAATCACAGTGGCAATTTCAATGCTCTTCGGCCTATACAATGGCTTGCTACCTGATGTACAAGTCATTTATTTATCCTCACAATCTGATATCAGTCAACGACCTCGTTTAGGAATGGATTTTAATTAGTACGACGACGCAAGGCCAGGATTGCAGCCCAGTCGCCACGCCGTAAGCAACGCCACTCTTTCTGGCTACACACGATACTTGCCTATAATAAGAAAAATGGAGCTGGTCGAGGCGCAGGGAAGGCCCCAGCGCATTAGTCGTGACCTGTGAATCTGGGAGAACGGGAAAATCACGCGATTTCGGGTGTGACAAGTTCATATATACCCGTAAGTAGTTGCATGACTCGAAGGTCGATCGTAGGGATCATGCTTGACGAATAGTTTCCCTACCAGTATCTATTACATAGTTTAGGGGGAGATTTCTATTGGAATGGGACCGTCTGAATGTCATTATGAGGTATGAGTCAGCGGCTGGATCCAAGCTGCAGTTCATCCTACTTATGTTACTTCCACCATGGAATTTTCATCAGATACTTGATTATGACTGGATTTCGTCAGATTTTCATTTTTCAGTCATTAGATAAAACTTCATGTATTTGGTGAGCACAGAAATCTAAATGATGGCCTGTGGCTTTATTTAGCGTTTGATGTCGGTTTTTGAATTGAAAATTTTTTAGTTTATGCGCCTCATAATTGTGAACTAAATTCACTGAGAACATCACAGATGTCTTTTCTCTATTTTTTCATTTTTTATTCCCCGCTTTACAGGTGAAATATCAGAAGACATCAAAAATAAAACTAACCATATCTCAGCTTGAGAGAAAGAAACTATCATAATTGTTTGTTGAGCTGGAGGAATTTCAACATGATTCATCTGAGAACCGCAAAGGTAAAACTTCTACGCGTTTACCAGAGGAAGGTCAGATCACTTGTTTCGCGTTTATGTGTTATTCCTTATGCGAGAATTATCTTTGATAATCGTCGACCTTTTTATGCTTTACTCTTTTCTACACAGCTAACTAGTACACGTAACATGAACTAGCTTGATAATTTTTAGCTCATCGTCAGCTTAAGCTAGGAGGAGCTTGTTTGTGAAGGTGAGGTAGAGAAGATGGAGGGGGGGCCCTGTCAAGGAGGGGCGGGTGGAGGCGACGTAAGCGGGTAAGCGTGGTTTTCCTATGTAGCGGTCAGCCATCTTCCCTTAATTAAGAGGCATTATTTGGTGAACTAGTTCAATCATTGTGTCAAGGAATGCTATGTAATTGAGCAAAAAACTGTGCAGAAATTTTTACCTCACGGGATTCGAGCGCCTCATATCTTGTTTGCGCAGCACTTGTGCACAATTACACACCGAGACCGACACATATCACCCTAGTTCGATCGATTTTCATGACATATCAATAAGGAATGCTGAGCTGAACGAATGATACTCCGGTTAGTGTAAGTGGTAGAATAAAATATTAGTAAGTGGGGGACGCGGCGTTCGAATCCTTCGAGGTCAAGGTTCCTAGCCGCATATATAACATCCCGCTTAACCATTGACAACACAAACTGCGACATTAAAACAACAGTTACTAAACAAAACAAACAATCAGTTTTTTTTCAGATAGCAGTAATCGCTTTTCTACTGTGCCTGTCGGCGCTGTTTTCTGGCTTGACACTAGGACTGATGTCATTGACTCCGCAGGAGTTGGAACTTGTCATGAAAGCTGGTTCGCCTAGCGAACAGAAATACGCTACAGTCATCCTTCCCATAAGGAGAAAAGGTTAGCGATCGGTTTTATTGGATTGCTTCGTTGACCAAACTTGTGCAGAATACGGATTAGCGCTTCCTCAATGGACTGCATCATAGGCCATAGGTCAAGCGAGATGTTACCATCGCACCACTTGTTTCAAGAGGCTGAGGGCATCTCAATCATTTGGTAGGGGGCAAAATATACTGAACGTAGTTTAAGTTCACATGAGTGTAGTATTAGGTTGTCTCATAAATAGTGTCGCTTTTTTTCAACCAAAAAATTTTCATCCAAATCCTCATGCTTTTACATCGAATCATATACCATTCGAAAGAGAATTGTCTGCTCTACAAAATATCGTGTTCTTCTTCCATCTATGTTCCATGGTTTTCAAATTTTAAGCCTGCGAAATGGGAGGTCCCGCCGACAAAAATTGACCAAACCGACAACTAGCTCTAACTTTATGTTCCCTTCGGAGAAATCAATCAATGATGTACCCTCTACTTACTCATGACCTCTTCTGAACATTCCACCCTTAGGTTGCCGAAAAAGGTTTGCCCTGTTTCTTTTCGAATTGGCCGACCGATAAGTCATGGCAATTTTCAAATTGAAATTCTTCCTCTGAAACGCTATTGTTTTTATAACTGGTCATATCTTTTGACGAAGTTCCCGGTATATCTGTTATTTTTTGATCGAGCACGTCTCTCTCGGGCTGCTCATTATTCGCCTATTTGTGTTTGTTTTGATGTTTGTTAGGACTTAGCGATCGTAGACTATGAGGGTGGCGGACGCGAAACCGTGTGTCAGTCAACGCCGGTGACTATTGGTCCATAAGTGGAACGCGCATGGTATCTTTGAAAAAAATTATCCTTGAGGAGATGAGAAAACCAACCAGGCGTACATTCCTAACTTAGTCACGACTTGTTCTTGAAATTCCACTAGTTTTTCAATGTCTCGGCTGTAAAAAAATTTCGACCTCGATCTCAGGTAATGGTGCTCAACCGTCGAGTTCTGGTTGAAAAACCGGGTCTGGAAATGGAATGATGAGACTTGTTGGGAAACCTAATAGTGTAATGTTTAGAAGAGGTCATGCATAAGTAGAGGGTACATCATTGATTGATTTCTCCGAAGGGAACATAAAGTTAGAGCTAGTTGTCGGTTTGGTCAATTTTTGTCGGCGGGACCTCCCATTTCGCATGCCTCAAATTTGAAAACCATTGAACATAGATGGAAGAAGAACACGATATTTTGTAGAGCAGACAATTCTCTTTTGAATGGTATATAACTCTCTGTAAAAGCATGGGGATTTAGATCAAAATTTTCTGGTTGAAAAAAAGCGACACTATTTATGAGACAACCTAATATATTACAATTTTTCA